CATCAATCCTGCTTTGATCGGTCTTCTCAAACATTTTGACATATCACAATTTGGTAATTTAATTAATAGTCTCTATTTTACTGATAACTTAAACAATGTTAAAATAAATGTTACTCGAATAATTTTAATTTGCATAGAACGTTATCTTTCTTAACGTCATAATAAACCTTCGCGTGAAGTGGAAAATCGATTCCTGAGCAATCGATGCCAACTAATTCAGCACCTTCACTTGGGACAGCGCCTTTGTAACGTCGAACGTAAGAGGAGCAAGTTAAGAAGCTTCCTAAGTGACACTTCGGGGAACACACTTAGGAACATATACAACTTAGGTAAGATATATCTTTTTGAGTCTTCTTAACGCGCTAAGAGTGAGCGTTATCGGGGAACCGGTATGAAGGTAGATTTGTGTCTTTATTATTCAATCAAAAAAAATGTTGCTTCAATCAAAAAAAATATTTTCAATTAAAAAAACCTTCACTTCAATGAAAAAAAAACTTTTCAATCAAAGAAAAAAAGTATTTGAATCCAAAAATATATTTGAGACTCAAAAAAATACATTTGAACACTGCTTTTCTTTGATTGAAAATGTTTTCTTTGATAGAAGTCCGGTTTTTTTTGTTTAAAGCAACCTTTTTAATTAAAGTAACATTGTTTTTTGATTGGACCATATAATGGGTAGGACATTTGTGTCTTTATCATTCAATCAAAAAAGAAGTTGCTTCAAACAAACAAACAACAGAATCAATACAAAAGTCACTTCAATGAAAAGATAAACATTTTCAAATATAGAAAATCATTTTTGAATGCAAATAAAATATTTGAGACTCCAAAAATTGCATTTGAACACCTTTTGTTTTAATTGAAAATGTACTCTTTGATTGAAGTAATCTTTTTTGTGTTTGGGCCATACATGGGTAGGACATTTGTGTCTTAATCATTCAATTCCAAAAAAGTTGTTTCAATCAAAAAAAAATATTTTCAATCAAAGAAAAAACTTTTCAAAAGCAAAAAAAATTTATTTACCTCGTGTATAAAAAAAGTATTGAAGAGAATGTGTGTTTTCGTTGTTTTTGTTTTTTATTTGAAGTGAAAAAAAAAATAGAATTTCAAATTGTTTTGATTGAATCCTTTTTTTTTTTTTTGAAGTGCAAAAAGTTTTGAAGTTCAAACTTTTTTTTGATTGAATCATTTTTGACACAAACGTTCCGCAGTGGGCGGGTGCTTCTCTGTTGGTCAGACATGTTTGATTGACAAGTGTCTACACCAACGACATCTTTCTGACAAAAAAGTCATGTTCGCCACTCGCCAGCAGCTTTTTTAGAGGGGATAAAATCTTTGCCTGGCAGGGGGATCTGCTACTCGACCGGCCACGGATATATGTGCCTTATATGCACTGCATTATATAGCGCCTGCCACTCGAACTTACACAATATTTACAGTAAATGCAGCGCATATTCCCCGACAGAACGGTACGCACAGGTCAATATTCACCATTAACCAAACGCTTTTCACCTGCCTAGCCACAAGATTTCTCACTGTTTACACCTATAAGACACTCCTAATGGTAGGCCTACACGAGAGCACACATACAGTACAATACAGATCTTATTTACACATTTATCATCTGATCATATTTTATTCGTTCTTTTTGCCCGTATTGGAGCGCGTATAATAACGTGCAATCCATCTCTTATTTACTTTTTTGTCATCTTATATTATATTTTATTTGCTCTTTTTATGCGTATGGGAGTGCGCTCGCATGGCTCTATTAAGCGTTGCGCCGGCCACACCAGCCACACGATCTCTCTCTATTTACACCTAATGGTAGCTACACGAAAGCACACATAGTGCAATACAGATCTCATTTACCCATTTATCGTCTGATCTTATATTTTAATCGCTCTTTTTATGCGAACGGGTCGTGGCTCTAAGCATCGCCAGCCATACCAGCCACAAGATCTCTTATTACACCCATCAGACACTCCGATTGATGCACATGTGAAAACAGACAGTGCAATCCTGCTCTTAAGTATCTTTTTTGTCATCTTATTTTATATTTTATTTGCTCTTTTTGTCCATAATGGAGCGTGCGCGTCACCTAGCGTCGCGCCTGCCACAAGATCTCTCACTGTTTACATGAGACACTCAGATGAGAGCAAATAAAGTCCAATCCATCTCTTATCTACCTTTTTGTAATTTTTTCTTATATTTTATTTGCTCTTTTTGCCCGTATTGGAGCCATCTTCGCAGTAGTGAACGCGCCGAGAGAAATGCTCATTTCATATGGATTAAATATAATCTGAGAGTAGAATAATATTTATTTTCGTTTTGAATTGTTTTGTTTAAAATTAGGCTAGACATTTCTACCTTTCTAGATGTAGCCTATTTATCATGTCTTTGAGAAACGTGCAAAGCAAAAAGTTCATGATTTTATTGCTATGCCTATATGTTTGCTTTGCTTCTTATTTATTAAATCCTGGGAATTGGTTGATCAAACATTGATTAAAATCAAGATGCAATTTATTAAAAACGAAATTCACTTTAAAGAAAGGCTTTATTAAAAAAAAAAAAACTTAATGGAGTGGTCAAAATCATTCTTCTTCAGAATGTCAATCGGAGAATCACGCAACTATGAGAAATATTGCGAAATCTTGTGACTGGCGCACCACGAAACGTGCTCCATTATGGGACAAACGAGCTAATAAAATATAAGATAAGATGACAAAAGGGTAAATAAGTGCAGGGTTGCGTTGTCTCTGTGTTTTCGTGCATCAATCGGAGTGTCGGCTATGAGAACAGTGAGAGATCTTGTGGCTGGGGGGACGGGTGGGACATGTCCCCATAGATATGTATGCATGTCCCCACCACTTTTTGCCAGGGTCGATTTTGTACCCACCACTTTTGAAACATCTCGCGGCGCCTACTCGAAAGAGAAAACAAATAATGAATGCGTCATTGTACCCAGCACTTTTGAAAATGCTCTTCCGAATACGTCTCTCCGTCCCCCAGCACATTTCAAACCAAACCAAACTGACGCCCGTACACAAGAGCAGGATAACTGTCTGTGTGCTCTCGTGTATTAATCGGAGTTTCTGATAGTAAACAGTGAGAGATCGTGTGGCTGGTGTGGCTGGCGCGATACTTAGAGCCACAAGATCAAATGATAAATAGATAATATCCTGTAGGGGTAAAACTTGCTGGCGAGTGGCGAACATGACTTTTTTGTCAGAAAGATGTCGTTGGTGTAGACACTTGTCAATCAAACATGTCTGACCAACAGAGAAGCACCCGCCCACTGCGGAACGTTTGTGTCAAAATGATTCAATCAAAAAAAAGTTTGAACTTCAAAACTTTTTGCACTTCAAAAAAAAAAAAAAGGATTCAATCAAAACAATTTGAAATTCTAAATTTTTTTCACTTCAAATAAAAAACAAAAACAACGAAAACACACATTCTCTTCAATACTTTTTTTATACACGAGGTAAATAAATTTTTTTTTTGCTTTTGAAAAGTTTTTTCTTTGATTGAAAATATTTTTTTTTTTGATTGAAACAACTTTTTTGGAATTGAATGATTAAGACACAAATGTCCTACCCATGTATGGCCCAAACACAAAAAAGATTACTTCAATCAAAGAGAACATTTTCAATTAAAACAAAAGGTGTTCAAATGCAATTTTTGGAGTCTCAAATATTTTATTTGCATTCAAAAATGATTTTCTATATTTAAAAAAAGGTTTATCTTTTCATTGAAGTGACTTTTGTATTGATTCTGTTGTTTGTTTGTTTGAAGCAACTTCTTTTTTGATTGAATGATAAAGACACAAATGTCCTACCCATTATATGGTCCAATCAAAAAACAATGTTACTTTAATTAAAAAGGTTGCTTTAAACAAAAAAAACCGGACTTCTATCAAAGAAAACATTTTCAATCAAAGAAAAGCAGTGTTCAAATGTATTTTTTGAGTCTCAAATATATTTTTGGATTCAAATACTTTTTTTCTTTGATTGAAAAGTTTTTTTTTCATTGAAGTGAAGGTTTTTTTAATTGAAAATATTTTTTTTGATTGAAGCAACATTTTTTTTGATTGAATAATAAAGACACAAATCTACCTTCATAAACTGGGCCCATATTATTTCAATACAGCTTCATAAACAGAAAAATAACAGTATTTATGCTGTAAAGTGCATCAATTAATAAATGAATTCAGTTTCAGCTGTAAAGCAATGCTCAAGACAATAGTGCCATCGTTCAACTCAATTTCATTTAGGTTTTGTTCTCATTTTATAGTGTCAGTGCAATAAAACAAGTGCGATAATATTAACTGTATTTTAAACCACAAACTTAATCAGGTGACAGTAGTAAAGAAAAACAGCTATGGAGAAACCAGAGGGGGCCATTTCCTCTCTGACCTAAATGAACAAACACAGTGTGATTTATGGTTCAAAACTGCATTAGTCAAACTTTGTGGACTGACATAACTAAAAATGTTGCATCCATCTCCTGTTCAATAAATTTAGGCATAATGTTGCTTTTTTACTTGACTGTTAACTTTGTCGTTGCCACGGAGAGTGTCACATCAAAGTCCTGTTTTCAGTTATTTATCGACACGCTAGATGTCAGTATTACGCAGTGTAGTGCACTAAACGTTCTTTAAAAATGATGCTATTTTTGATAATTGAATGACATGATCATTTATTTATTTTTTCCCCCACAAATAATATGATTAAAAACATTTGGAATACAAAGACACATCAAAATAACTCACATGGCTATAGTTGGCCTATAATAGTTTTTTTTTTTTTTTTTTTTCTGACCATCATCTCGAGAATTATCACTGATCCACATATGGCTTTTAAATGTATACGTTTTATATATCTTTTTAATCGGAGGACTGTAACACTACAAGTTTTACTGTAGGTGGCGTCACAAGTCATGCACATGTGAGTGGGGACTGGGGAGTCACCTCCCATCGGCTGTTTCGGTGCTTTTAACCGAGCAGGTGTGTGATGTTGAGCAGAAGAGCTCAGTGTAGTTACTGTGAATCAGAGCAGGAGCGCGTCATGGGACGCCAGTGCGCAAAAGAACAGACATTGGACATGTGCGTCTGACTTTACGGACACTTTTTACGCAATTCCTCATGTGTCCAGACTTCCAAATCGGAACTGCCTAAATTCTTGGACTCTTCAAAGTGTTGGTAAACAGTAGACATGAATACTACGTTTAACCAAACGGACAGTGGAATCTTCTCCAACCGGACTGAGGACATCCTCTTGTGTTGTAACTTCTCGTCCGTGGTGACGGATAACGGCTTCACGGCGGCCCCTCCGGATGAAAGGAGCCTCTTCATCATGAGAATAGTTCAGATAGCGGTGATGTGCGTCCTCTCCCTCACCGTAGTCTTCGGGATCTTTTTCCTTGGCTGTAACTTGCTCATCAAGTCGGAAGGGATGATCAACTTTTTGGTAACGGACCGGAGACCCTCCAAAGAAGTAGAGGCGGTCATCGTGGGTGCGTACTAGACACGATGAGGATTATGATTATGAAAAAAAAAAAAAAAAAAAAAAAATTAAGTTTGTGGACCACCTGATGGACATGTGTTTCGATGGCCTCTTTAAAAACCACCACACAGTGTTATTTGGCCGGCTAATAAACTATTATGTAGAGATCAACTGAACGCACTGTCTCCATTTTGCGCACACGCCTTTCCACTGTTCATTCAAGCGGACATTTAGGAGATGAACCACTCAGATCTCAAATCAGATACAGGCATGGAGTCGTTACATTTGTCATAGGAAATATGTATATGCCTACATATTGATTCTTTTGTTATGGACCTCATCTCTGTAAAGCACATTGTAAGCTCTGCACGCATTAATTATTTGTTGTTTAGCAAGATTAAATCATCGTGTTTAATACAATAAATTCGTATTTCGAATAAAATTGTCTTATTGAAACAACTGAACACACTGGGCAATGAATGTTATTTTAAGGGTCATAACAGTCTGTTGGTAATAAGTTTCAGTGAAAATAGTTTGCCAACTTGTTACACTATATTTTAGTTTTATTTTTTATTCTGACATATAGAGTGTACACTCTTAGAGTAACTCTTAAAAGGTACTATATAGAACCTTAAAAGGTTATATCAGCGCTACGTATTTGGAACCTCTAAAAGGTTCTATACAGTAACACAATAATGAGAACCCTTTAGGGTTCTTTGTAACCTGGAAAAAATGTTCTGTATGGAACCTTTTGGGTTCATTCATTGTCATTTGTTTTGTCCTTTCTGGATTAAATATTTCATATTATTGACAAACATCAAGACCCTAAAATGTATTTGTGAATGATCACAAAATTCAAGATATGGGGGTTAGAAAATGTATATATTTATATCATTTTATGTAGTTAATCAATATCACACAAAGAGTGCCATTTCAGTTTTTCTCCTCCAAAAATCAGCATGATTAAGATGTGATATTTAGTTACTACAACAGTTTAATAAACAATAATTTAATTACAACTACAAAATGTTGCAGAATAATGGAATATATGAATGAATAATAGCCTATAAAGAACCTTTGTGCCAAAAGGGTTCTTTCTTGTCATTATAGAACCTTTTTTAATTAGCATGAAAGGTTCTTTGTAGTTGAGTAAAGAACCCTATGCTTGATACATAGAATAGAACCCCAATTAACCTTTTTTTTTCCTAAGAATGTAGGCTGCATTTACATTTAGGCACACATTAACGTATGCTGCAGCAAAAACTTTCCATTTAGCCTGTATTGTTAAATTGGTAACACTTTACAATAAGGTTCATTAGTTAACATTAGTAAATGCATTAACTAACATGTACTAACGATGAGCAATGCATTAGTTACAGTGTTTATTAATTTTTGTTAATGTTAGTTAATATAAATCCAGCTGTTCATGGTGCGTTCATGTTAGTTCACAGTCCATTAACTAATGTTAACTAATACAACCTTTGATTTTAATAACGTATTAGTAAATGTTGGAATTAATATTAACTAAGATTAATAAATGCTGAAGAAGTATTGTTCACATATTGTACATGTTAACTAATGTAGTTAACTAATAAACCTTATTGTAAAGTGTTACCGTTAAATTATTGTCACTATCTATCTATATGATTGATATGGCATGGCATAGAATAATAAGCTATACGTATTTTTCTTAAACATCTGTTTGTGATACCTTTCAGTCTTCATCCTGCATGTAGACAGATATTTGGGGACATTTATAAATAAGACTCTATAAGGCAATTGTACATACATCTGACCATTTTCAGACCAGACAATTAAAGTTCTAAAGGGTTTTACAAACAAGATGATAATCCTTTGCCGTCTCTTATTATCCACAATATTATCCATTCTTCAGATGATCATTTAGTTAAAGTTTGTGGATTGTTTGTTTGAATGTGCAATTAAGAAATTGAATGGTGCATTTTAAAAGCAAGTAAAATGAGCTTACTGTTGATAAGGTCCGGATAATTAAATGGAATTAATCAGCGGTTTGAGTTCAAAGGTAAACTAATTAAATTCAGTTGGCTGTTACTTAATCAGACAGAAACAAAGCCCATCCTGTTTCAGCATGGCTATCAATAATCATGATGTTTTCATTTTAATGTTTAAGTATAGACGTGTCATTTTTTTATAATGTTGATACCATAAAGATTAGCCTGCAAGAATGGGTAAATCTCTTCTAAATGTGTTTACCAGGGCAGGCAGAGTGCCGTTGATGAAGGAGGCCTGCCACTTTTAAGACACATCTATTTATAAGAGTGTCTGTGAAAGCTGAGAGCTTGTTAACTTCACAATGAATAATTTTGCATCAGTCGCATCTCCACTGAGCTAGACACTATGCAGCGATTTCAACAGAGAAAACTGCTTCTACTTCTCATGAGAGATAGGCAAATATTTAGAGTGGCTTTAATTGATGATTCTGTCTTGAAGCCCTAGATACCCACCAAAGAAAGAAAGAAAGAAAGAAAGAAAGAAAGAAAGAAAGAAAGAAAGAAAGAAAGAAAGAAAGAAAGAAAGAAAGAAAGAAAGGATAAAATGTCACAATCAGCATCAGTTGACATGTCATTCATGACTCAAAATAGCATTAATCGCATTGCACTTGCATATTATATAATGAAATAAAAGGGCACTAAAAGAGAGCACTTTAATTACCGTTTAGTTACACTTTATTTTAAGGTGTCCACGTTACAGTGCAATTATACATTGAAGTAGAGTAATAAAAATTTACTTACTAAACGGTTTTGGGTTAGAATTAGGGTTTGGTTTAGGGTTAGTTGCATGTAATTTATAGTAACTGCATGTAATGTGTAACAAGTACACAATAAAATAAAGTGTTGCCCTATCTTTCTTAACCCTCCTGTTACCCTCAAATCTGATAACACTTTTTACCCACTTGGGTCAATTTGAAAGAAGAAAAGGGCGTACATTTACCGTTCGGAAACTTGTGTTGAACTGCATCCGGTGTAGACAGCATCACCGATTATAATGGGTTTCTCATGTCAATTTGACCCCAGTAATTTAAACCTCCACAATATGTTTTTTTTTTTTACAAAGGTTTGTCTCAGTTAATTTGTGCCTTTGTTGACTTAAAGGTTCTCTAAGCGATGTGGGGCCAAAACATTTTTTGTCACATACATCAAACGTCTCCTCACTATCGGCTAGCTGCCTGTCCCCTAAACACACTGTAAAAAAACGCGGTCTCTGTAGACACCACAAGCTCCGAAAACGGCAACAAAAACAATCATGTCTCACCCGGACCACGAAACCTAACAGTGTTCCAGCCAATCACTGGCAAGAAGTATTTGAGGGTGGATCTGGGGGGGTAGTGCGCGTGCACATGAAGGGGGTGTGTGTGTGAAGGAGAAAGAAGCATAAGAGGGAAGTTTGAAAAATGGCCGACACGACCAAAGAGACGTCGTTCTGAAGAACAAATTAAAAAGAAGAAGGAGTCGGATAAAGAACGTGCGAAGTCCCGAATTTACATCGGTAGCAAAGCTTTTGAACGATGGCGAGAACTCCGGCGGCAGAAGGGCTTCCAGTCCGACATTCAGGTTGCTCTGTTTTTGCTGGACAGGTGGGTAACATTAAATTGTTTTTTTCTTCTAAATTGACGCTTATGTTCGCCAAACCCACACAAGGATATAGAAATGCACGTTCACAATTATTTCAGGAAGCACGGAAGGGAGGGGGAGGAGATGAGATGCGGAGGAGGGAGGGTCTAGCTAGCCTCCGATTTGTTTGAAAATATTACGAACGTCAACACCCAGGATCGCTTAGACAACCTTTAAGTAATCTTTTAAGTTGACATCCACCCATCACCCCCCTCCCCGCCCCACCTAACCCCTTATACGTCCAGAATACCCTTTTTTACGACTATGGACGAATTTACAAATCAACATAAAATCCTCCTGATTGAACTAAAATTGGAAAAGTATAAATATATCTGGTGTTTTATTTGTTTTATAATATTTCTAAGTATAGATTTTTGTAATCTATAACATTTGGAAAGATTATTTATTTTATGAAGGATAGTAACACGAGTTATGTTTGGGGTCAATCTCGCAAAAATTATGTTTTCCCCTCCCCCATGGCACGGGAAACATCAAATTTCTCGCAAATATGATGTTATCCCCTCCCCATGGCACAGGAAAGAATTATTAGTTCTCTTGAGAATTATATCACATGTCATGTGAACTACTAGTTGTTCTCGCAATACTACTGATATGGTTCTGTTTGGTTAGAGCCCTAAAACAGAGGGATATTTTTTGAATATGATATTGAATATGTAAAATTACAATGAACATTATAAATTCAAATTATAACATGTTATAGGGACCTTAATAAAACAACCTAAAGAAATATGTGGGAAATTTCTTCTGTTTTATTATACATCTAAAAGAGCCTGGGGTCAAATTGACCCCAAGGAACACCGATGCTACAAAATGTGTACAGGACTTTGAAAAAATATTAGCAGGTTAATTTTATGTTTACAGAGTTGTCCCCATTAAATTAGGAAAAGTCATTAAACCTGAAACAAAAAATAAATAAATAGAATTATGTTTTTACATACGTTAAACATTGAATGGGGTCAAATTGACCCCAAGGATAATAGGAGGGTTAACACACTTACCTACACTTTTAAAATCCACACTTTGTAATATGTCAAATATGTTTTAATAATAGTTTGTCATGCTTTAAAGAAGTGCACTTGTTTTTAATGTGTTGACTAACATAGACTACTAAAGCACATGAGAAGTACTTGAATATAATTTCAATTGAAGTGTTATTCAGAAGTAAATATTTTAAATATACTAAATTGCAAATTCGTCATTACAAATGTGTAATTGCACATAAATGCATAGCACAAAATGGGCATTAAATTATATGAAATTATTAAATTTTTCATATGAGACAATTATAAAATGTTATATAAATATGTATTCTTTTTAAGTCATACTTAAGTGGGTCAAAAAGGCACTCTTAAATTCAGATAATTGCATG